AAGCCGCCGCCAAAATGTACGAAACTGCCATGAGGTCCGATTGTTTGTTTGGACTTGGTTTCTAGAAGGACCCAGAGGAATGGAGGAATTCGTGACCTTTGGCTTGCTAAGCTTGGAGGTGGCGAGAGGGTACTGGCTATGAGCTCGGCTTCCGCTTGAACAACAAGGACGATTGGTTTGGGCCTGTGAGTAATTGTGAGTAATATGATTTTTAGTGACACGAGTTTTACAGCGCCTGTCAAGCAGAGAGTTTGACATGCACCGCGCTTGTCATTGTTCGACGGATTGGCCAATTCACAGGATTTTTTTTCCCTAAATATCTAGGAACCAAATCATTATATAGCTATATCCTCCGTAGTGGCGCCCAAGTAGCTAGGAGTGAACAAGTCTACTGTCTACTCCCTTGCTTGATTACTGTAACTAGGCGCGGCGCAGGCCCCCAAAAAACAATTTGACATTGCACACCACGTCTATATAGACCAACGCATTTTTTCTGCACTCTTCCAAGTCTATGAGGCTGCATCGGAGGGTCGACAGCTGCTGGCCTCCGACTGGGCTCATGGGCAAGGACTCCAACTATTTTGGCGAGAACGGAAGGGCACCACCCGAAGTGGTTTCTCAGAGTGTTTCAGAGTGCCACTGTAGGTCATATTCTTTGTTTAGGGCATGTCAACCCTCACTGGCGATGCAGCAATTGGGACTTTGCTCGTGCACAACCTGCGGTTTGGGGGGTCCAGGTTAAAAGGCACGAGCTGTGGGGGTTGAAACATTCCGTGAAGAGCCAAGATGTTTTGAATCCCTTAATCTTGGCAGACACACGGACTTTCCAACCATCCCTGGAATGTTTCGGTTTTGGCAGTGAATAGCTAAACATCAGGCTGGTTCCAGACTCTGAAAGGTTAGCTGGGTAAACCCAAAGATGTGTCAGAGGCAGTCCTTCCACATGACATGAAGTACCTTTCCAAAAGCTCTTAAAACAGTCGGACACTTGTCATGGAAGGACTACGATGGTGATCCTGTCTACTGGAACAGGAGCGCTCTGTCCAGAAGATGTGTCTGAAACTTTGAATCACCTGCACAATACAATGTTTCAGTGACAATCGATTCAAGATGGAGTCCAATGCACTGGGCCTGATGAATTGCAGGATGGGCCTTGGCAACTTGGAATTTCTAGAGCAGGTGCGTCCAACAGCTCAACAGCTGGACTTGTGTTGCTTCCCGCCGGCAGCCTTCTGGGGAGGCACCTTCTGAGTTCTTGGTGCAACATGAAGTCTACACCATCACTCGCCTGATGCAGGCTGAGCTTTCAGAGGGAACTCTTTTTAACACATCTCACTTTATTTCACTCTTTTTGGAAGGCATACATTGAGCTACGCAGTGTAACTGTTCTTGTGAAGCTGTGACGAGCCTCGAAAACTACTCGTGCCATCAGCAAGCCGATTAGAAAAGCTGATTTGAAAAGCTCTCTATTTATATACAGTATTCACATTTGTCGTCCATAGTCTACAGTGGTGCCAAAGATGCTTCCCTTCATAGTGTATCAGATGTTTGTCCTGCTCGCGAAGAAACCCTCAGTTGGGCATAGAAACTAGCCGACTATCATAGCTGGAGGCGATGGAAGAAGCTTCAAGGCTGAACAACAAGCCGGCTGGAGACCAATTGAAGGGTGGTAATTTGACACATAGCGTCAAGCAACAAGACCTAGCAACATCCATCAGCAGAATACTAGGAGATGAGAGGCGCCAATTGGTTGACTCTCAAGAGGAATCAACCTTCCTCTGCAGCGCGTGGTTGTGCCGAGATCATGAATTTCACTGTGGTCGCCGACCTGGGAGAGCTTAGCCGCGAAGCAGCAAAGTCAACGGACAGATCGATGATGTGGCTGGTTTCTAGGGTGGGCTGATTGGAAGTCTGTCGCAGTTCCATTTGCTTTCTTCAATGCCGTTTTCGAGGATTTGCACTTTGCACCAAAGATTTTCAAGTGAATAAGGCTGGCGTAGCTTCAACATCAAGGGCATCATGAAGTGAGCCAGAATTCAGCTTCAAGCTTGTTCAGCCGTTTTGAAAAGCCGTTTAGAAAAGTCTCTGAAGACTTGGCTTTGCAGCGGCCTGGGCACAACGACTATGAAGGCTTTTCCCTTACACACCAACAAGCTTGTTTTGCAACATTCCGCCTTTTCTTTTTTTCGATTGTTTTCGTCAGGTACAAGGTTTGTGTCAGGACTCTGGAAGATAATTTTCCTGAACTAGTGAAACGCATTGTCGCTGGCTCAGAATGCTAATCCTCACATGATATAATGTTCACAGCAACCTTTTGGCCTTTTGGATTCTTGGAGCTCAAAGAACTCTTGACTTTGGAGCAGCCTTCGTGCACTCAGCAGATAGGTCTATGTGTTATTTCTTTCCAAAAAAAACCCTGGTTGCACTTCAGCCACCTCGTCAGATTGCGATTCGGGTTCCTCGGCTGGCATACACTATATGGAATATAGCCTCGCACTTCTTCGTGCTGCTGGCAAAATTTAAACTTTGGGCTCACACCGCTGTGAGTCATCATTCCTGATGTTGCACAGCTGACTATGACTCCAATGACAGGACGAGGGCACCAGAGCCAAGATTCAAATTGCAGATGGACAGCACACGATGAAAGTGCCCTGGCAAAGCTTGTGTTGCTTTTGTCAAGCTAGATTGGCGCATCACCAGTTAGTCACAGGACAGCACATGTTCAAAGGTTTTACTTTTACAAGCCTTGTCAAATGCCAGCCTTTAGGTCAAATTGGCTTCTAAAACAGTTTTGATATTCTTTTTGTCTAAACTGTGCTCTGGCAAACCACACAAATTGTACAACAGGCACTTTGTTGCCGATTACTTAGTCGCAATTTTCTGTAACTTGTTGCAACCCACAGCAAGATATCAAAAAAAACTAATTTTCTTGGAGCTATTCAGGTATTCCATTTGATTTGTTGTTTGGTTTACGTTGTTCGAACTGATGGCATTTCGTCTGTTCCGCACGTCATAAATATATAGCATTATATAGCTATATAACAGAATCGCAACCATCTTGAAGACAAGAGCTATATTGGTGCACGGAATGCTCGTGCAGCTGCTGTGCAAGCAAGGGTTTTGTGATGCGAGCTTTGCACCTGTGAAGTGTGAGTCGCTGAGGTTCTGAGCGAAGTCATGGATCCCAAATGGATCCCGGAGGCAAAGCTTTGATGCGGGGGACACGACAGGAATCATGGTCGATTCCATGTGATAAATCACAGCAGGATACTGGGTTTAAGGCAGGGTGCTTACATAAATTTGCCTCATCTTGAGAAATGAGCATTGGACTTGGCTTCATCGTTGTCGTCGTTGTCGTCGTCGTTGTTGTTGGTAGATTTAATTGAATAGTTTGCCTGGGAGTTTTGATTATTTGGCCGTAGACGAGTAGTTTTAGTCCGACGCCCTCCCTTTGCACCGGTGACAGGCCTTGGGTGGGACTCATCGAATAGGCGACAGCCGGTGTGCTCAGTCTGAGCTGTCCTGCTAACTGCATACAGAAGGACGTGAAAGCAGTGTTTCATATCATGTGGCGGGCTACAGGGCGCAAACCAGGGATAGGATCTTCTCCAGCAATTTCTTTCATGTCACCACTAATTCACTGATCATTACATGTTCCTAATACAAGGTGTTACCTTTATGATATATGTAACTTCGGAGTCATTGACTTACGCGGTGCTGCTATTGGTTCTGCAGGTGTTGAAAGTGTTCACTTGCTGGGCAAGAAGATGTTTGGTGAGCCGTGGACTGAGGTCCTTGGTGTGAACCGATCATACCTTGTCCAAGGGGACCTCCCTCTGCTGTCGGCAGACCCAGTCAAATGTGTGAGCAGTAAACCAGTTTTGTTTCAAGAGACAAGACTGCTCAAACCTATATCTGGATTCGGGGCCCTCTTGATTCTGAGAGCTGACCATGTGCAGCGGCTTGAAGCATACAGAATCACTACACAAGCTTCCGACATCACCACTCCCAGGAGACAATGCGAGCTCTGCAGGCTGCCTATGAGTCTTGAAATGTGGCTCAATATCTACAGCAGAAGGCCTCTGCCGGTGGAATTTAGGGATGCTTTCTGAAATTCTCCCACACATGTCTAGCGAAGCACGGTTGATGACGAGAGAACAAGTGAGGGCCTTTTTTGTTGCAGAGGCGAAGCAGTTGTTGGGTCATGTTTCGATGGTAGGACAATTTGGTTGTGGCAAGAAATACTGACATTGACATAGCCTAACCACCCCAAGTGTTATGAGGCATGCCCAAGATATTCGCCCTAAACATGGGACAAGCCACATCCATCTAGATTTGATGTCTGGGCTTGTTTTGACTGCTGACGGTCAATTCAACCTGCTTTCTTTTATGATGTTCGATTCAGTTTCGATCATGATTCATTTTGCTTTGCCGAAGAACATGCAAAGCAGCTGCACTTGCAACCCTGCATAGCAGAGAGGATGGTGAGGTTCTGCATGTCTTGGAGGATATCTCTCCTTGCAGTGCTCTCTCTGACCAACTTTGCTTTGCCAACGTTTTAAACATTTTCCACAACAAGTGTCCCAGCTTCTGCTCCCTTTGTCGCAAGAAAGAGCTGTCAGCGTCACGTTCATTCAAGGAGCTGTCAACTGACCGAAGCCCTTGTTGGAGAGAGAGAGAGAGGCAGTGTGTGTGTGTGTGTGCAAACTTCAACAGCTTTTTCTAAGATTCAAATTCTCCTTAGTGACTTAGTGAAGACGGAACATATTCTTGGGATCACTAAATGAAGCATTTGACATAGGCACGAAGATTCAGAGTCCTGCTGTGTGCTAAGCTGCTAACGCCGCATTGTGCTTATGCCCAGGCCCAGGCAGTACAAATGCACTTCTCAGATCCAGCCAACAAGTCGACCTATACAAAGAACTTGGATACCCGCCCAGCCATTAGCAATAAATGGTTCTCTCATGAGGGCTTTCAGAGCGAAAGAACACACCGTTTGGCGGAATTATTCCGTGGGCAAATGACGGGTGTATCGCATGCGCCTCCATGGTTGCCGGGCTTGGACCAGGTGTGGAGTGGTCAGCATGAAAATGACCAAACTAAAGTCTTCTCTTCTCTGTGCTTCTCTTCTCTTTGTGTGAATTTGAGCCCCTGACTAAGGGGTGTTATATAAGTCCATTTTGCCACACTAATTTCAAGCTATTCTGCACTGACAGCAGATGGGAGGTATGCTGTCAGAGAGTTGTTTCTAGACTGATATGTAGTAGGCAGACATGGAAATGCTGGTGGGACAACGGCTTTAAGCCGGTGGTGTGCCTGATGCTTTCAAGCCCTTTGCCTGCATAGAGCAGAACGGAGTTCGTCGGAATGCTGCGCTTGTCATGAGAGATCAACAACTCCGGAAGATTCTTATTATCGTTTTCGGCTTTCAACCCGAATTCCCATTTGCCCAGCGCCATCTGAGGATTTCTCCAATGTACAAAGTATGTCAGCTTTTCAGAGTGCCCACAGCTTACTCAGCCAGCTCTTTGGTGGGTTTTGGAGGTAACAATTCTGCCTGTGCGTCCTTTAGATATGTCATATGTATTCATATGTCATTTCTGTGTAATGTTGGATCCTGATTGGTAAAGGGGGGTCCCCCCCCCCTCAAACAAACAGGGGGACTTCTATAATAAACTATCACCAAAACAAATCTGGATTCCTGGTGAGGGATCTTTTGTAATTGATTGTAGTATTCATTTTCCTTTCATAGATTGTATTCAGCTTCCTTTCTCAGGTGCTTTGTAATTGTTCTCAGCAATCCTTTTGCTTTGCAGCCTCAGATCTTCAGCTCAAGAGAAGCCCCAAGCTTTCATTGGCCTCAGGAGCTAAGTAAAGGGAGATTCCATGTGCATTTTT